CCCCACCCCTCTTCAAATTTTGTTGTGAAGCAAAATCTTCTAACAGCATGAACAAAGACCTTTCAACTATCCCTAGGTAGCATTCTGTTTAGGACTTAGAAGCACAAACTTGGCGCAGGAACAGGAACTGTGTGTGAAAATGACTGTACTTGGAAATTCCTAATTTTGGGGAATCCAAGAAACATGCATAACCAGTTCACCTAAAACTAGTAGAAACCAAAGAGGAAACCACTTAACCAGCATAGACTAATAACAGAACCAGGAAATACAAAACCAGAAAATAATAATATAATCCAAAGCATCTGTAACCTAATACTAAAAGCATCTTTTAAGTTTATGGGAAACACCAAGAATTAAAAACAGTAGTGATTCATGGTAATTTGTAAAAATTTCAATAAAACATTTCATTATGAACCACAAAATGGTACAAAATACTTAAACGTTACAATGTCTTACATTTTGTTTAATAAAAAACATTTATTCCATCAACAAGCACAAATTGGTACTAATGCATTCAGGTAAATTTCTACCAAATTAATTTATATCGCATGTGGATGTGGGCATAATACTCGATAGAAAAAAATTAACTGGGCATGCTGTATGCAAACAGTGAGCCAGATACTAGGATAATTTTCTTCATCAAAAGCTGCATGCATAATCATCCAATGCAGGTAATGCAAATTCTTTACTCCTTATACTAGGGGTGTTCAAATAACTGGTTCCAACTGACCAGGTTGGTTCAGATTCTTTTATTTTATTTTAATAGAGACATTGTATTGAGAAAAAGGAGGATAAGGAAACCACCAAAACAATACAAGAAGGAAAAGACTTAGGAGTGTTGAAGTCTCTCAGGTTGGTTCAGATTCTCAGTATCCTATGGGTTTGTTTCAGTTATATACTTAGGAGTGTGATCAAGTGGGTTAGTTGAATGTTGTGTGGTTCTGAAACAAACAAAACCGCTCCAGTCCGAATATATAAAGAGTGAAAAATTTAAGAAACTCCACCAGGGTAGATGGAAGTGCAATCTCCACTAGTAATATTCTGATCAACATTGTAATACTTACGTGTTTGCTAAAGCTTCAATAAACTGAGTGGGAATAGAATCCTACATAGCTTAAGGCAAGAATATCGATGCATGTGTAAATTAACTGTATTTTTGTCCAAGTTGTCATTACATTTAAGCTCTAGTTTTGAACCTTTTAGAAACTAAGAGAAGTATGATCTTCCATGAGTTACCAGCCCTACGAACCTGATATAGATATCTACAATACTCTTTAGTCTTAACTATGGTTTCAGGAGTCTTCTTAACTACTGTGGTGCTAGCATGTCACCAGAAACCGACCATAAAAACCTACTGCAGTTTGAAGCATCAGGAATGAAATGTAGTGTAAAACATCTTGGAGTATGACATTCGTATCAGGCAGGCAGAAAATGCACCGAAAACTATAGACCACAGATCCAATAAGAAAAGAACAAAGGAGCATTATTGTTTTATTTTGTTCTTCAAAATAGTTCAAGAGTTTCATACCAATGACACAAACCCAGGAAAACAAGGCATGATAAAATTCAACATCCAAACATCCAATTATCTTCAACCAAAGGTAGTTTGGGGGTTAAACTAACCTTTTCTTGATATAGGGTTGATACGGTGGCGTGGTCCTTCAAAGATCCAATTATCTTCATCAAGAGATTTAACCACCTTGTTAAGTGCGTCCATCAGATCAGATTTTATAACTGCAATTTAGAAAATAAACACTCATTTCAGATCAAGAATATGCATTGGTAGCCACAGAAGCATAAGAAAAGGCATTCTATAGTACTCATTTATCAAATCTTAATGTTTGTCTAAAATAGGTGCTTGCTTGGTCTATTTCAGTTGATTGATTTCTTACTGCATTCACAAGAACAAAACAAGAAATGATTTTTACATGAAAATTTAACCCAGTCATGTATTTTAAGACTTACACACCTAAAACCAAACTGTAAAGAAAAGTAAGTTCATAAAACATTTGCCATCGTTCCAAAACCTGCCATAAAAAAATTTAATTGATAAAAGTTTAAGCCACCCATCAGAGAATAAAAGCATCTCTCCAAAGCCACACAATTATCACTAGAAGCTCTCTGAAACCCACTTTTATCCATTACCAATAATGCAAAAATGCAAGAACATAGATACACACTAACAACAATAATCACACCAAAAAAAAAAAAGCAATGGTTAAAGAAACAAACCAAGCATTGCCTCTTCTTTGCGATCTTGAATAGAAATCAGATCAATGGGGAAGAAGAAGTCGTCTGTAGACAAAGCAGGATTGCTGCTGCCATTTCGTTCTCCTCTTTCTCCAGCTATTGCTGTTGTTGATATTGAAGAATGTGCTGGTGATGAACTGCTCATCTCTCTCCTTCCTTCTTCAATTGTTATTTTCCTGGAAAATTCACTTTCTCAGACTCACACCAGGAAAATTCCTAAATTTCAATACACTTTCGAATTTGGGTTTATCAGTTTTTGGCTCCCTTCCAAAAGTTTTAATCTTTATCCAACGTTTGACTCGTAAATTACACTTTCGCCCTTAAAACTTTGCCTTAATTACTTCTTCAACCAGCCGAAGCCCCCTTTTTTGGTCGTCCAATTGATTACTTAGAAGATCTGCTGCATAAGTAAAGCTTTAACAGATTCATTTTTCTTTCCCAATCGAAAATTGAAATTGAAATTAGGTTAATGAATTCATAGATGCAAAGTTTCTTCTTGAAAGTGAAAACCATTTTGTTTCGAGATCGTTGCTTGCACCTTTGAGCATTCTCTTTGAGTTGCTTGCTATATTTGTTATGGAAACTCAGAGGCCTCCTCGCCTGCCCAATTCCTTGTTCGTTGGACTTGTCTTGGTATTCTTCTCTGGCATTGGTTTTTGCATCCATTCTTCTGCAGTTTCAAGCGAGGTCAGAGCTTTTTGTTTCTTTTTCCCTTCAAGTTTTACCTATACGTATATAATATAATATCTATGATGTAATTTCATTGCAGTTGTTTCCATTTTCTTGTTCAAGGGTTGCAATTGGTCATTTTCTTATTATGTACAAAC